CTGATTTTGTGGCAGTCAAAAGCATAATTCTTACTCACTCATGTTACGATGAAGATCAGGACTCAAACCTGCAGTCAGGTTTGGGGCTTCTGGGAAACAGCCAGCACAGGGCTTGTTGGAAAGCCTTGCTGTACCTTCCTTCGGCCTCCCCTCCGACCTCACCTCGGGGCAGGTCTCGTTAGCGGATTAAGTCCGGAGTTAAACGAGTCCTCTGGGAGCGCAGGCCAGGGATGCCCAGGGCTCCAGCTGAAATGGTTTTCCCGAGGCCAGCTAAGGAGCTCTGCAACTTGCCAGAGGGGAGAAGATCTACAGATAAGGTTTGTTTTGCAAAATCCGCTGGCGAATAAATCCTGGGAAAATCTGTGCTAAGCTGTGATGTCACAGCCCTCACCGCCTTTAAAGTTAATTAAGAGGAGGGCGTGTTAAGTTCCTCTGTCATCATAAATCCATCCTTCGGTCGGTCCGGCGCTAGGAAGGCTCCTGCCCTGCTGCCGCGGGCGCTGGGGCCTGCCGCTGGCAGCCCGCAGCAGGAGCGATTGCTTTAACGTTCCACCTGCCTCCCGGCTGCCAACCACGGGGGTCACCCGGAGGTAAGCGCAGGGCAGCCCGCCTCCGGGAGCGGGGATTAACCGCCTCGCTGGGCTCTTGCCCTCGACAATTTTCTGGTCAGTAACTTTTTGAAAGGAGAGCGTGTCTAGTGCAGCAGGGAGGGGCAGGCAGGAGAGGATGACGAGAGATGAAGGGGGAGAAGCAATAGGGGCTGGATTCTTTCCAGGACGGAAAACCGTCTGTCCAAGAACTTCTCCAAAACACAAATTAAATATTCCTCTATCCACCATTAAATTACCGTGACTGGGTGGCTGCGCAACATCCTGACAGGCTGTGTAATAAGGAACGCCGTGTCTCTTCTGCTTTATTCCTCTGCATTTTACTCTGTCCCAGGCAGGAACTTCTGTGTCTGCAAGAGTCATTCTCTCCAGGACTTAGCCTCCAGTTGGGACGCACTTATTGCCAATTTAGAATTAAACTTAAAAAAGGAAAGGGGACACAGACCAAACTCCAAGACCCACGTCTACATTTGGAAAATTGTGCTTACTAATAGGACTGACCATTTCCTACAGGGCAGATCTAGACTTCTTACAAATGCAGAGCCCCCAAATCCTAACTAGGGCAGGATGAAGCTAAATGATGCCTTTCTTGATGTTGACTGAGCAAGGAATAAAATGAGAGTTCCTTACATAGCTGCTTGCATATAAAGGGAAGCGAAAGGCCAACTGCACAGCTTTAGGCTAACTGGAGCTCATGGGGCATCGCCAAAACACAGGCCCAGGCCCACAGTCATTCATAAGTTCAACAGTTCAACAGTGAGCAAAAGTTTTGTTCAGGAGCATTGAGAATGTGCACGATTGTCCCTCACTCTGAAGCTGTCCAGTTGAACGGTTTAGTGAGAATGTTACAAATAGCACAACCTTAGGAGTGCCAAGCAGCAAACTGTCAAATTGCAGATTCTGCTGAAGGAGGTGGATTCAGGAGAGCAGAGGACTGATGAGTAGGTTTGGAGAAAATCTCAGGAGGCAATAGTAGCCTAAAGACCTGGAAAAACATTGGTGAAACTGCTGCAAGCAGGAAGAGACCAGAGAAGTGTTGCCTACACAGAAACACTAAGCCAAAGCCCTCTGTAAGGACAGAGTTTGGGAGCAACAGAAGCCTCAACTAAGAGGCTAATGCAGCAACCAAAAGTCTTGTCTCTGTAAGATCTGATATCCTGGGAGGCCAGAGGGAAGCCCGTGCCAATTTAATTTGGCCAGATGTAAGATAGAAATTGAAAGTCTCATATGATCTTGTAGGAGCAGTCAAGCTTAAATTTGGACCAAAACCATGTTGTATTGAGTTTTGAGTTTTATCCGTCTGTAAAAAGTAGCAGAAGAGACAGCAGGAAGCCTCACTTCCCACTGTGTCGTTAGGGAACTTTCACCTCTCACGAAAGAATGGTCTTTTATTTACTGCTTTTCTCTTATGCTGGCTAAAGCCTTCACCTGAGTGTGAACAGTATCAAGGACATGAAAACTTCCCATGGAAAAAAATCATTACTGAAGTTAATGCTGTCGGCAGGATAACCAGCAAATTCTGTCTTTCCCAGATGGCCCAGATTTTAATGGGGTCACCTTGCAAGACTTGCCTGTAGGATATTAAGGGTCCCAAAGTAACTGTTGGGGCATAAAAAATGTTATGTCTAGGAGTTGCATCACAGACAGATGTTCCTTTGACAAGTTGTCCTTTGCTTAACTATTTTTCCATGTATATTTTCTGACATTTGGTGCATCAGTGGCAACTCTTGGGAACAGGAGGCTGTATGGATGTTTGAAACAGATTAAAGCAAAGATTATTTTGCAATAGCAGTGCAAAACCCTAGAGTGCCAGGGGTATGAGGGCAGTTTTTGCCTTGCTCCTCTTGTCTGACACCTTATTTCTCTTTCTCTCTTCTTCCTCTCCTACTCTCCATTGCTCTTCAACTTGTCAGTTCATTTTTTGGTGTCTGCGTTTGATCCAATCCTGCTAAGAGGCTGAAGTTCACACTGATGCAAATTCTGTGGGCATCAAACTTGATACTTACAGTTGACATTTTGTAGTGTTTTTTTTCTCCTCTTTCCACAGAGATGTAGGTTGTGAGAGAGAGAGAGCAAGTAAGTGTGTATGCTGATAGTTGAACAGTAGTTTGTAAATATTTCCCGAAAGCTTGTGAAATTTCTCACGTGTTCCTGACTTCCCTTCAAGTCTGCAGAGTAGGCATAAGAAATACCACCCAGTCTAGCTCTGAGTCCAGAAGTGAGTAAACAGCCACCAGTTTCACAAGCGTTGTGTAGATGCCCAAGCCTGATAGCCAAGGGTGACATGCTGAGACTTTCGGAGACAGACCAATACACAGGCCACGTTTTTAGCCATATGCTTTCTTAATTTTTAAGTCTCCTCACAGCTTTTTCCTTGAAAACTACTTCGCCTGAGATAAGATTTCCCATGAAATGGCTCTGCCATATTTAGACATGCTCTGAAGTTTCTGGTTAACTGACTTGTTAGTCCTGTGGTGATTTTGAGAGTATACATTTATCAGTCTGTGTGTATGTTCACAGATGTGCCAATGATTTATAAATGGGGTTAACTGTAAATTTAACTCATTTAGGAAATGGTTGAGGACCCAGGCACTTCTAGATTTTAGCCTGGATGAGTCGCACTGGAAGAGCTCTTTGACCCTGCCAGAGATTAGTTTTAGTACCAGTTGTGAGATAAGCTTAACGAGTCCTTAAAAATAAGCATGTTAAAGCTCTCTGCAAGAGGTTTGTTGTGGGGAGGGAATAGCAGGTCCTAATTTTTACTGTTTATCTTGCTGTTATTAAGTTAATTGCAGGGATTGAGTTATGTAATTCGGACTTTTCTCCTCTGTTTTTTAACTTTTGGAAAACTCAGAAGATTATTAAATCTTTGAAGTTTCATTGTGCTTATTTTCAACCATTAAAAAATCAATATATCAGTCAGATTCATACTCAATACCCAGTGCTATGGGAAGCAACTGTAATCCTGGATCACAGGTGATAAAGCCACTGCTTGAAAATAGCACCGTTCTGAGAGCAACAAAGCTATTCCCATTTTCAAAGTCCATTTTCCCAGTCCCTTGATCAGAGTAAACCTGCATTTCACTATGTGAATGTCCTCATTTTTTAGTATAGTAATTTTCCATTATCCCTGCTCACAATTGCAGTTGTGAGGAGTAGCAACCTTTTCTTCTCTCACTTTCGGACCTTGCTGTTTGACTCACAGAGCAGTCATCTGATTTCAGTAACATACTCCACTCAGTAATTTATTTTTTACAGAATGACAAATGACTCACCATTCATAACATGATAAATCCTGGGAAGGCTTAGCTAGAAGAGCAAGAAGGACAGATTGATTCATATATAAATGTTTTAGGTAACAGAGAGATTAAATTATATTCGCTTCCAGTAGCCTTGAAAGACATCTAAAATAAGGTTATATACTAGAAGCAAAATATTTTGGTTAAATCTCTTTAGCTGTAGATTACTGTTTGAAAGACAGTAGTGGAAGCACCATCTCATACTTGAGACTAATATTGTTATCTCAGAAGGAAAAATCATACTGGATAAAGCTCCACAATGAAAGTTAATGAACCTGGTAACTTTTCAGGTTGTTTCTATTTCTGACCTCCATGATGGTGTAGAAATACAGATAGGGTTGTACTGGTTATGTCTTCATTATGTATCAGATCCATGCTATATGATTTGAATGTTTTGTTTCCACTGATATTCAGAATTATTCTTTGTACAAGAAGTATTGTGTCATTTTTACTGTGTTGAATGGGAGTGGCAAATGAAATCTTGCATGTATTAGTTGCAAAATAAGTTCATGCTTGAAATTTCTCACTTCAATGTCTGTATTAAGATGAACCTCTTGTTTGAAATGCACTTAGGACACCGGCCTGCAAACAGCATTGCAAATAGTTATATATGATATGCTGAAAAAATGTTTTACTGCAGAGCAGGTACTGTCTCCAAATGTAGAACAAGAAGTAGGTAACATACCAGATATCCCGGAAGGTCTGTGATTTTAGAATTAAAAGTTATCTTTCTGTGCGTATGTATAGCAAAAACAGGGATAGATTTGAAATTTCATGATACAGAAAATTGGCAAGTGTTTCATATATTTGTCGTGTTAGGCTAAAGATCTGGTTTTTTGTGTTAGCTATTGTGCTGCTTGTAAAGACCCTGTAATAGAGTATCAGCAGTGGGACAAAGCCATCACCACCATACTCAAGTCCCATCCCCATGTAATAGAAGATCATTGTTAGTCTCACATGAAACAATGCAACAGGCCACGCAGTGAAAACACATCAAAGATGCTCATCAAATTGTTGAAGTTAGGAGCACGTTTTAATTATTTTAGATTTGAAGCAGAAGCAGTTTGACTCTAACAAAAGTTTCTTGCTGCAGATCATCCTGTGGGGTCGAACTGAGAAATGCCTGAAGGAGACCACAGAGGAAATCAGGATGATGGGGACAGAATGCCATTATTTCATTTGTGATGTAGGAAATCGTGAGGAGGTCTATCGGCAAGCCAAAGCTGTGCGGGAAAAGGTTAGTGTCTGTGGAAACACTGCGGGCAGAATTTAGTAATGACTCATATTTGATCAGGTAAAAAAATATATTTGGAAATTGGGAAAAAATCCATCCAGATCGTGTTGTCTACCTGTTTTAAGTGATCCAGAAGGATTACAAGGCCTATAGGCAAGAATGTCAAAAGCTATGAAAATAATAATGTATTTAGGTTAATAATAGATATTCAGATATAATGATGATTGGTGAGGAGAGATACTAGTTGTAACATGTCATTTGCTTTCTTTGCAGGTGGGCGATATCACTATCCTGGTGAACAATGCTGCCGTGGTCCATGGTAAGAGCCTGATGGACAGTGACGATGATGCCCTGCTCAAATCACAACATATAAACACCTTGGGACAGTTCTGGGTAAGACAAGCTCTTGTATCACATCCATTCAGAACTGGGAATAAGAGTGACAGATTACAGCCAGGAAACACTTGGCTGCTACTGTGTCTTTCTAAATGATTCTTGGTAGAATCAGTCTGACGTGAAAAGGAGACAGAAAAAACAATGTGAGGGGCAAAGGCCAGAGGAAAGAAGTCAAAAAAATCTAATTTTTCCAGTAGTAACACAGTATTTGATGCTCTTGTATCCCCATTCTGTGATTTCCAATAAAAGATTTCATTTCTTTTGAAATGAGCCTGAGCTCACAGAGGATAGCTTTCTGCGACGTGTATGGAACGTCAGAGGAGCATGAGACTGCATTGCTCAGGGAAGGGAGCTAGTGTGAAACTCATGCCATTTTGAATCAGATAATAGTAATTAAAAAAGGGCTTCTTGTGATCTCATCACTTTGTTGAAGACTTTATCCTTTATGAGAAGTTCTAAACATATAAAACATTCTGTTCATGGCCTTTATCTGTGCATACTGCTTGCTTACATGCTAGGAAAGATTTTCTTTTGTTTCTGCACAAACTTTGCCTGTTCAGAATCTTCCAGAAAAACGAAAAAGCAACAAGGTACTCTCCCACTCCTTCCCTAGCATAATGAACAGCACACTTTGGCTTGTTGTCTCTGTGTTACCTTATTTTTTTTCAGTATCTATTGTTTTTGTTGTATCTCTGCTAAGCAAACTTTCTCTTTTTTTTTCTTCTTTTTTTTTTTTTCTGTTTACTATTTATGGCAGAAACTTTAGGGCTTTAAAGGAGTACGGACACATTGTTTGCCTGAACTCTGTCCTGGCCTTGTCAGCCATCCCTGGTGCCATTGACTACTGCACCTCTAAAGCTTCCTCCTTCGCCTTTATGGAGAGCCTGACCTTGGGGCTGCTAGACTGTCCTGGAGTGAATGCCACAACAGTCCTGCCCTTCCACACGAGCACAGAGATGTTTCAGGGCATGAGAATCAGGTCAGTCCAGGGGAACTAGAATAAAGCATCTCATTTTAAATGAATCATCAGAATACACTCCTAATTAATGCTTCATTTAGTTAAGAGAATTTGATGTCTCATTTGGCTGCCTGGGAACAGAGGGTCACTCTAGGCCACCCAGGACTCATCGGACTGGTTCCCTTGGTTTGCTGGCGTATTCATACAGCTTGCCTGTACTGAGTGAGATGTTTGCTTCTACAGAGAAAACTGAAAGCTATTTTTCCCTGAGTGTATTTGGGCTGTATGCAGCCACCAGAGAGGGAGGAGAGGCAATCCAAAAACTGAGGTCATTCAGAAGGAGCAGTCTACAAATTACTTAACAGTACAGATTCCTTCTTTATTCATTCAAATACTTAAATCTTTCCCACCGAAAGGAATGACAGCCACTGACTGAAGTAAGGCCAGCAGTACCTTCTTTTTACCTCTAAGAGAGCAAGCTAAACTCATAGACTAACAGCTGACCAAATTAATCTTTTACACTGGACAAAATAACCTATTAATAGAGTTTGTGCTCTATTAATCAAGAAAACATGCACTATCAAGCTATTGCTGCAGCTGGAAAAAGCCTTATGTTTGGTATTAAAAGCAATGGGGAAAATAGTTGTCTTTAACCTGTGAAGAATTTGCATCAAGCAAAGAGCAACATTGAGAAGTGTTGGTATTGGTTTGCATGCAAGTTTAAGAAATTCCTCAATTAAGGTTCTGAATACACTCTGCCACTTCACCCTGAAGGCACCTGCATGTACGTTCTTAACTGTTTAGCTAACCCAGTAGTACTGGTTTGAACTGGGCTTTCTGCTTTCCAGCTTTCTAGCTGGAACTGGAACTCTCTGCTCTTTCCAGCCTGCTTTGGGGCATGTTTGAATGCCAGTAACCAGAAATAGCTTAGTGATTAACAGGACTTTGGACAGTGATATCTTAAAGGAGTTTGGTTAACAATAAATTATTTTTTACTTTATTCAGGTTCCCTAATCTTTTTCCTCCTCTCAAGCCAGAGACAGTGGCTAGGAGGACAGTAGAAGCTGTTCGGATGAATCAAGCCTTCCTGCTCCTTCCATGGACAATGCATGTTCTTGTCATCCTAAAAAGGTAAATATTTCCTCTGCCCAGCAATAGCCTCACCAGTTAGGCAAGACTGGCTTAGAGTCCCCTGTGTCTGTCCACCAAGCCAAACCTCAGTTTGACTTTAACTCAGTGTCCAGCATCAGATTGGTTCATCCCTTCCCATGACAGACAGTCATAGAAGCAAAAGGGAGGAAGCTTTCTGAGATTCCCTTTGTAGGTGTTTTCGCTGGGTAAAGCCCCTTTATGAAACCAATTTCACTCCCAAAATTTGGATTCCCAAGGTCTGAACTGGTATTTGCATCTAGGAAATTTCTTAGCGACTAACATATGCGTGTAGTTGATCCTGATTTAGTAAGCCACTCTTTGGACCTTGGGCTTTATATTGTAAAGGATTTCTGTACAATAAGGTACGTACATCACAGCTGTATTTAGAGAGCATTACTTGTGTTAAAGCAATTAAACTATTAAAAAAATATTTTTGTGTATGATTAGGACAGAAATTTTGAAGTCTCCGAGGAAAGACAGTCATAACTCCATATCCTGAGACAACTAAAGAGAAGGGACGTTTAAAATTGTGTTTCCATGAGAGTTTCCACTGAAGCCTTTGGAAAACCTACTTCAGTCAGGAACTGAAAGGTGGCCATCAGATTTCTATAGAAAATAATTATAATATTGCATTTCAAACAAGAAAAAAATAATTCACAATAAATGCTTTGCTCTGAATGTAAAATTTGGGCTACTCTCAAAAGTTCCCATAAATTCTACAGACTGAAAAAGGGCTGTTCGCCTTCTCCTTTATTGTAAGAATTGATAATTTCTTTCCCATTCCAGTAGCTGTCAGGAAGTTAGATCTATATCCGCACCTTGTGATGAGGAGGCCGCACACCTAGCACAAATAGATGGCAAGTTGGCCAGAGAGAACTCAGTTTAAATTTGTGCGTTTCAGAGTGCAAGATTCTGCACAATATTTCAGAGGAATAAAACATGATGGTATCTTCCAAGTTACAGTTTTTATAGACGTTTTTTGGATAAATACCTCTGTAGAGAAAGAGCGACTTGATAGCACTGTCTCCTCGTAGGCCTACTCACAGCAGGATGCTGACACGTTTTGTCGGCGCACTCTCACTAGCTGATTTTTGAGAACATCTATCCTTAGGTATGTGTATACATAAGCACATACTCACACATCCCCTGATTAGAATAGACTAAGAGGTTTATCTGATCTGCTTATTTTCTTTCTGCTTCTTCTGCAGCATTCTCCCTCAGGCAGCACTTGATGAAATCTACAAGTTTTCTGGGAGCTACACCTGCATGAACACTTTTAAAGGACGAACATAGACTTGATGGTGCAAGGACTATTCTTCAGTGAATCCAACACAAGCATGAAAATCCTGACAAGACTGTGAATCAGCAGTCTTGGCTTTTAGCCTGTTCATGTGACTCGTGCTGCTCTGAGGCAACACATTTCTTGCAGGTCATATCCATAGTAACATGACCTTTGCACAGGATTGAATGACTAGACTATGGACCCTTGGAAAGAAAAACAAAAAGTGTGAAATGTTTATACGATGTTTAATTCTTTAGAGTTCAATTGTTAAATCTACTCATAGTTTTAAGATGTAATTTTTGTTTCTGAAGTGTTTGTAGGCTGTCTCAGCCAAGAGGCAGCACATCACACCCCATCCTTTACCCCCTCTCTTCAGAGGAACTGCAATTACTAACTGCTACTGGTTTCATTTCAGCTTTTTGAACGGGGAACTTAAAAAATACTTTAAAGAACTAAAAGTTATGGACATTTAATGGAAGCTTCCTTCCCTTCCTTCACTTTACATCCGTTGATGAAGCTTTTCCCAACTCATATCAGGGAAGGAGCAAACTGTGGAGCAACGTTTTCTTTGCTAAAGGCCATCCAGGCCTTCTGTCTGGAAGGACTGTGCTGGGCCCAAGCAAGCTGTGTTACTTCAGCTGTGAAGGCTGGAGAGGAATGCTCAGTCAGAAGAGCAGACAGTTTGAATAGTGAAAGATTCTGTCACTGAACTCATATATGAAATATAATTGTCTTTCTGAATATTTTTGTTCATTTATGATTAAAAAAATATATATTTTTAGCATTAATCCCAGATTGCCCCGCATGTAGGCAGCATCACATTGGGGATGAACTAAATCTGAAGTCAAACTAGAGCCTGCTTGTACAAACATACATTCACTGACATAATCCATGCAGAGGAAAATCCATTGTATCAATCTGCACAGTGAAGTAGGTGGAATAATGCTCTAAATATAGCAGAGGCAGTACTGTAGCGTTCCTGAAATGTGAAGTTTGGAAGCACGGTTAGCAAAGACCTGATTAAATGCACGTTGAATTCCGCTGGGAATATACCCGTTGTTTTTTAGGGGCGTTGAATCAGGCGCTGATCAGCCAAAAGTGATAAATACTGCTTGGACTGAAATGCCAGAAGCAGCTAGACATTATTTATTTTTGTAATGATATATTCTCTTCGACAGCCTAGTAAGAGCAACACCGCATTCCTACGCCAGATGCAGTGTGCAGCACTAGGTGTAGTAATGTAGTTGAAACACATTGGAACACTACTAAAAGAGGAATTAATACAATTGCAATACAGGGAAGTAGCACGCTTAACTGGAGACACCTGAATGAAGCACCTCAAGGAAGGCCACGTGGTTAAAGTAAAGGAGTGAATTTAGGGTTCCTGACTTGAATTTCAAGCTTTTCCATACATGTCCTGCGTGACCTGCGGCAAGCTGCATAATTTCAAGGTGCACCCTGACCTGCAAAGCAGATATTTCTAGTGTTTCCCTACCTCAAAAGTTGTAAGTCTGACTACCTAAATGTTTGCAAAAGCTCAGCAAATTCAAATGGAACATGCTATAGAAAGGAAAAGCAGTATTTGGTCATAAACCAAGAGATTCTATACAAAAATTTAGAAGAGAAAAAAAAAACGTGACGAAATGCATAATTTCCTAGAAGAGATGGGAATTACAGAAGAAAAGCTGAGAGCTGTATTTGGGATATTCCTTTGGTTCTGCCAAATGGAGACCAATGGAGACATGCAATGATTGAATGTTAAAACCTGAGGGTCTGAACCTTACTGCAAATCAGTAGATAGGTCTCTTCTTGAGCAGTTCAAGAGGAGGGCATTACCAAACGTGCCATGGATGCAAGCCCCTCTGCCTGCATGGGTCTTTTGAGGAGCTCTCGTGTCTGGGTTAGTGCTTTCCTTCTGAGTGCAGAACATAAAAGCTGTAGCACTGTGCCAGCCTTGAAAAGATTTCTTACAATGGAGTTTTGTTTTGAATTCCTAGATGTCTGAGGCTCTCTGGAGAGGATGAAAAGAAACTTTGATCTCTGTGATTTTGACACCCACCCTAATAGATGCTTTCAGCTTTATTTTTTGACAATTTTTTTGAGAAGAGACACAGTTCATTGAAAACACAAGTGCAATGAGGGGAGAACTCGTCCAGGATCTGCCAAGAATACTGAAGGTACCATATTTATCAAGAGACGCTTGGGAGGGGAAGGGATGATTCTGTGTACCTCCCCTTATGCACTCCAGTACTTCTTAGCTTCTCATGAATCACAGGCAGGCATGCCAGGATTGTAAATGCCAGAGCAAACAGCATCGGTGAAAAAGGGCACCCCACAGTGTCCCCTGAAATTAAACCTTTATGCTGAGATTCCATTCATTGATGACATCTTTGTAATATAAAGTGGGGTAAAAACTAGTGCACACACTGACATTAACTGGCCGCTCATCCCCAGATCCTGCCCCTTAGATGGATCTGTTCTTGTCCTGCGCTGCGTAAATGTGTTCCCTATTTTCAGAGGCTGACTTACATACTAAGTGCTGTTGATTTCTTTCTAATGAATATAAACAAGTTGGAATGTAGCCGAGACTCCCCTCACCTCACTCCTCTCATACGCACACACACAAACTTCCCTC